GTTGAAAACGTTATTGTGCTTTGTACATATGCCTATACATATGTGTGCCAAATTTCAAATTATTTGATTGAGCCATTTCCAAGTTATCTTGCCAACAAAAAAGTGGTTAGAAATAAGAAAAATATATAAACTAGAAATTTAATTCGTCATGGGGACGAATTAGGTGGTCTGTTTTCAATTTTATGATCATTGAAAAGTCAAAAAAGAAAAAAAAAGTGAAGAAAAAAAAATTGTTGGAGACGCCCGGATTCGAACCAGGGACCTCGAGGTCGGAAGTCGAGTGCGTTACCGATATACCAAAACATATCCCATAGAGATTACACGTAAACGGAAAATAGATTTCACAAATCCCACTTTGTAAGTGAAATATGAGCATGATCCCGGCATCTGATCGAAAAATAAAGGGCACACTTATGATAGCTTATTGTCTTAGCTACAACATACTCAAAGCTCAGCGAAAACAAAGCTAAAACGACGGAGATATTGCTCGCAAAAGACAGGATGTAGAATCCAGTTTTGAGAAAAAGTCATGTCCCATAGAGAATACACGCAAAATGTGAAAAATTGACATGCCACCTTTAATCGCAAAAATACGCCATGATACCTTTGTCAAAATGAAATATTGTGGTTCCTGCATTTGTAGAGAATTGTCTCAGGTAGATCATATCAAAATTTGGAAGAAAATCGATAAATATTTACAGAGATACAGTCAATTTTCCAGAAATATGCTGACGTCATAATATGCAAATTGAAATTTTGAGTTGGGAGGCCATTATGATGACGTCATGAGTTAATTGAGGGTCAAATGAGACATGAAATCATATCTCCAATTCATACTCTATCAAAATATGGAAAAAAATTGGGTTCACCTTCCATCCTAAAGCGCTACAATGGATTTTGTATAGGCATGTTTTTTGCCCATGTATGCTATGTATTACAAGAGCTCGCACACACGGAAATTATCTTAAACGGACGCTCATGCCGTTATTAATGGTCAGAAAAAGGTGAACAAGGTATCAAAATGCTTGAAAAAATGTGCCAAATATGATGACAGAGAAAAATTGGCGATTCTATGTTGAAAAATACCAGTACGCGCGAAAATGCGCGCGCATGCGCGTGTGCGTGTTTTTTTTGCAAAATGCTTAAAATGGCCAGAAACGTATGCAAAATTAATTTAATATGATTTTGAGCATTTTAAAATTTTGCGCGCGGGCTGACGCGCGGACGTACGCATGCGCGCGCGTTTTTTGACCTGAAATTGACCGGACGGAAATTGACCTTAATCATGATGAATATGAATGAGAAATGCCTTTCCGTTATGAAGATATGATCATGAGTAAAAAGTACCAAAAAAAACAAAAAATGGCGCCTGGATGACGTCATGAAAATTTGATGACCTTGAAAATGTTACTGTCACGTCTCATGACAATGGCCTATGACTGTGCCAAAATTGAAGGAAATTGATTGAACCGATCTTGAGTTATCCTGTGAACAAAAAAGTGTGAAGAAATAAATAAAAATAAAGAATAACTAGAAATTTAATTCGTCATGGGGACGAATTAGGTGGTCTGTCTTCAAGTCTTATGATGTATTATAATATTTACTATATTGAGAAAGGGAGAAGTTATATAGACATGTAAACAATGATGATGATGATGATGATGATCTTGATAGTAATGGGGATGACGATGATGATGATGATGATGATCATGATGATGTTGATGATTATCATCAACAGACCACGATGACATCAGACTGAAAAAAATGAGAGAACATTTAGATAGTATATAGTCTCAGCTACAACATACTCAAAAATCAACAAAAATCAAGCCGAAATAACGGCGATATTGCTCGCAAAAGACAAGAATGTAGAATCCAGATTTGAGAAAAAGTCATCTCCCATAAGGATTACACGCAAAAAGTAATGGATCTAGTGATAATAGGGTAATAATAAAGTAAATATGGTTGTTTATTACATTATTTGCGATTGTACGTGTTTTAATATTCAAAGGAGATGGTAAAGTGAAACGGTCAAAAAGAAAAAAAAGTGAAGAAAAAAAAATTGTTGGAGACGCCCGGACTCGAACCAGGGACCTCGAGGTCGGAAGTCAAGTGCGTTACCGATATACCAAAACATTCCCCATAGAGATTACACGTAAACGAAAATGGAATGCACAAATCCCACTTTGTAATTGAAATATGAGCATGATCCCGGCATCTGATCGAAAAATAAAGGGCACACTTGTGATAGCTTATTGTCTCAGCTACAACATACTCAAAGTTCAGCGTAAACAAAGCTAAAACGACGGAGATATTGCTCGCAAAAGACAGGATGTAGAATCCAGTTTTGAGAAAAAGTCATGTCCCATAGAGAATACACGCAAAATGTGAAAAATTGACATGCCTCCTTTAATCGCAAAAATACGCCATGATGCCTTTGTCAAAATGAAATATCGTGGTAACTGCATTTGTAGAGAATTGTCTCAGCTAGATCATATCAAAATTTGAAAGAAAATTGATCAATATTAACAGAGATACAGTCTATTTTCCAGAAATCTGCTGACGTCATAATATGCAAATTGAAAGTTTGAGTTGGGAGGCCATTATGATGACGTCATGAGTTAATTGAGGGTCAAATGAGACATGAAATCATATTTCCAATTCATACTCTATCAAAATATGGAAACAAAATTGGGTTCAACTTGCATCCTAAAGCGCTACAATGGATTTTGTATAGGCATGTTTTTGCCCATGTATGCTATGCATTACGAGAGCTCGCACGCACGGACACTATCTTAAACGGACGCTCATTCCGTTATTACTGGTCAGAAAAAGGTGAACAAGGTATCAAAATGCTTGGAAAAATGTGTCAAACATGATGACAGAAAAAATTCAGCGATTCTATGTTGCAAAATATCAGTACGCGCGAAAACGCGCGCCCATCCGCGTGTGCGCGTTTTTTTGCAAAATGCTTGAAATGGCCTGAAACGTATGCAAAATTAATTAGAGATGATTTTGAGCATTTTTATTTTTTGCGCGCGCGCTGACGCGCGGACGTACGCATGCGCGCGCGTTTTTTGACCTGAAATTGACCGGACGGATATTGACCTTAATCATGATGAATATGAAAGAGAAATGCCTTTCCGTTATGAAGATATGATCATGAGTAAAAAGTACCAAAAAAAACACAAAATGGCGCCTGGATGACGTCATGAAAATTTGATGACCTTGAAAATGTTACTGTCACGTCTCATGACAATGGCCTATGACTGTGCCAAAATTAAAGGAAATTGATTGAACCGATCTTGAGTTATCCTGTGAACAAAAAAGTGTGAAGAAATAAATAAAAATAAAGAATAATAATAAATAAATAAATAAATAAAGAAAGAAAATTCTGACGAAAACAATAGGTGATCTGTCGTTGACAGACCACCTAATAATAATAAATAAATAAATAAATAAATAAATAGATAAAGAAAGAAAATTCTGACGAAAACAATAGGTGATCTGTCGTTGACAGACCACCTAATAATAAATAAATAAAGGCAATTCTAACGAAATTATAAGGTGGTCTGTACGTTATACAGCCCACCTGATAATAATAATTTCTTCTATACAGACACAAAATAAATACTAGACTTTAATTCGTCACTTAGACGAATTAGGTGATACGTATGATAATGGTTTACATAACGAATAATGCATTACACGATATATTATTTTGTAAAATGCTTCTCCCATTTAAATGCTTCTCCCATTATGATCTATTCATATGTCAAGATTAAATTGTGTCTCCTTGATCATCATGGATCTAGGGAAGATAGATTGAAACAATATATGACCTTTGACCCTGTGCAGTAACCAGTTACACATTTGACTCTCATTTACATCATAAAGAACACCTTTTGACGATTTAATCTTATTCAAAGAAATGAAAATGTAATTGATAAATGATTATCATCATTATGATAATGATGATCATGATGATCATGATCATGATCATGAGCGCGATCATGACATCTTATTGAAAAAATGAGGAATGATTTAGATAGCATAAGTCTCAGCTACAACATACTCAAAAATCAACAAAATCCAAGCCGAAATAACGGCGATATTGCTCGCAAAAGACAGGAATGTAGACTCCAGATTTTAGAAAAAGTCATCTCCCATAGGGATTACACGCAAAAAGTAATGGATTAAGTGAAAATAGGGTAATAATAAGTAAAAAGGGTTATTTATGACATTATTTGCGAATCTACGTGTTTAAATAATCAAAGGAGATGGTAGAGTGAAGGTCAAAAGGAACAAAAAGTGAAAAAAAAGTGTTGGAGACACCCGGACTCGAACCAGGGATCTCGAGGTTGGAAGTCAAGTGCGTTACCGATATACCAAAACATCTCCCATAGCGATTACACGTAAACGGGAAATGGAATTCAGAAATCCCACTTTGCAAGTGAAATATGAGCATGATCCCGGCATCTAATCGAAAAATAAAAGGCACACTTTTAATAGCTCATTGTCTCAGCTACAACATATCCAAAGCTCAGCGAAAAAAAAAGCTAAAACAACGGAGATTTTGCTCGCGAAAGACAGGAGTGTAGAATCCAGTTTTGAGAAAAAGTCATGTCCCATAGAGAATACACGCAAAATGCGAAAAATTGACATGCCTCCTTTAATCGCAAAAATACACCATGATACTTTTGTCAAAAATAAAAATTGTGAATACTGCATTTGTAGAAAATTGTCACAGTTAGAACATAGCCAAATTTGGAAGAAAATCAATAAATATTACGAGAAATACACTAAATTTTCCATGAATATGCTGACGTCATAATATGCAAATTAAAATTTTGAGTTTGGAGGCCATTATGATGACGTCATGAGTTAATTGAGGGTCAAATGAGACATAAAATCATATCTTTGACTCATAATCTATCTAAATATGAAAAAATATTGGGAGTTCCTGTCTATTCTGAAGAGTTACAAAGAATTTTGTATAGGCGTAATTTGTTACCATGAACTAATTAGAAACTCTCTTATTGAGATAAAGCAATTTATATTTGTCTTCTATGTATTACTGCAGGATTCAGATATTACAGCAGCAGAGGAAACTCTCCAATCTAGGACCCTGCTGGCATACATCTGTGAGGATGTCTTACTAGCTGGCCGGACCGTTGAGTCTTTGCAAGGAAGGCAGTATACGTATTCGGTTTTGCTGAATAAAGAAGGTATTATATCTCTAAATGTTATATATTTTAGTCAACATGTCAGAGATTAGGTAATGTGGTCCCCATGGTCAACTTCAAGGTCAAATCTTAGGTGAAATGATGGCAGGTTTGGAATCCTTATTGAATTACCTTTTCAACAATACCATTTTTGTGAAGAGAAGTTCCTGAGATACAAGGGTTCAAAGATGGTTATGCCCATTTTTGCCTAATATCTCAAAATTTGGTGGGCCAAATCTTCCAAACTCTTCACCAGATTAACCTAAAATTTGACATTTGGTGCTGTGAGATCACACTTGACAAGTTCACTAAGTTTCATTAAAATAGAAAATGGTCGGATTAAAACCATTGTATGATTTGACATGGAATGACCCTACGCTGGATTTACATAAAACTGCACAAAGTAATTGTATGGAAAGTAGTTTTCATTAAGAACTATGTGTTATTCTTGACCCATGATATCGGTAATCCAATCACTTGTTTTTTTTCTTCTTCAGAGAACAAGGTACATCACCTGGTCCTTACCGTGTGGAGAGCAGACGAGGTCGCAGAAAAGCCACCACATCTGGAGACCATTCAGTCAGGAGAGGTGTACAAGCACTTGATAGAAAGGTTCACTTCAGCTGATGACCTGATCCTTGTGTACGGACCACTAGTTGGTGAGTTTTCATCATATCCATTCCGTAATGATGTACTTTTTTTTGAATTAAACTTTGTCATAAAGTTAAGTGGTAGTTTAAATCAAAATCTTCCTATATTTTGTCTAGTTTTTACTTTTATTTTTCTTTGAAATTTCTGCTTCAAGTCACGTCGGTTATCAATGGGGAGTTATCTCCCCATTGATTATTTTAGCAAATGCATCCAGGTGAGAACTTCGTGGATGATCAGCCGAGGAAAACTATATCCACTTTGATAATAGTCACGTTTCGAGTAAACGTTTAATCGTATACCCGCCCGGTAAAGCCAGTAGTTGAATAATGAACTTGATAACAGTATAATCGATGACTCATTGGGAACCCAAGAACATCACCTAAAAAGAGTCTAAACGGATGTGAAATAGAAATCTGTCACAATAATTCTACTTTCTAAGACATTGTCAAGGAAGTTTAAATAAATCAAATTCCTACCTAATCTTAAAGGTACTATGTCCCATTTGCAGGCCAAAAAAAAGAAAAGGTTAAATTCCAACGGCATTTGAAAAATAATACTAATTTAGAACTTCCCTAAAAAAGGTGGGGCTTGAAAATATCTTCAAGTGGGAAAATAACGACTATTAGTTGTCAAATCGACTTGAGAGCCAATAAGTAATAGTCTTGATTTTCAGACCATTGTACCGCATGGTCATACGTTTTATGCTGCGCAAAGATTCAATTAGTTGAATTTTGGCCATCACAATAAGTGGGTTATTGATGTAGATAAATGCTCATGTACCATTTACAGCTCATTTTATGGATGTTATTACCAAAGAAGAAAAAAAGCCAGTCAGTCACTCAATAGTGTCCGACAGTGAATTCTAGCGGGTTTCCTTGCATAATTTGAATATTAGGACAATGCTAACGTTTAAATTTCACAGATATATTAACATACATGACATATTCATAATCAACCAATTTATAATGTATCGTTTAGATGTATAGTTGTCCCAAGTGTTGTGGTCTTGTCTAATGAAAATAGATGTCAGAGGACAATAAGGATTATTTGTAATGTTGTCCATCACAGTGAACATTACTATTTGTATCATTTATATCATGCTAGAATCCCATTATATAATGTTGGCTGGACAAAAGGTCCGGGATCACAGGGCCTGAAAGTTTCACTCTGTACCCCGAGTTCTCTGTTGTGAGGAAAAAAATATTTTGAGTGAATCGGTTATTTTCAGCTAAGTAATCATATTTCGTAAAAATCATCTATCAGTGAACAGTGGTCATAACAATTGATCTGTTTCAATGTCTTGATTTCTTTTCTTTTTTTCTCCATGTCGATTGTAAATTTCCAGATGCTACAGTTGCAGCTTTTAGACTGCATAGAAAAGCTGTAACAGTGGGATGTCCTGAAGTTGAGGAGGAAATTCGATTGATGGTGCGGCAATCTACCCTAATGGACAGCAGTGATCCCTACGAATACAGCGACGATTGATTTATATTAGGACGCTTGGTCAAAGGGGATACGATTTTCTAGTTTGGTACATGGTCAAAGGAGATAACAATTTCTAGTTTGGTCTTTGGTCAAAGGGGATAAAAATTTCCGGTTTTGGTATATGGTCAAAGGGGATAAAAATTTCCGGTTTTGGCACTTTGTTCAAAGGGGATAAAAATTTCCGGTTTTGGTGTATGGTCAAAGGGGATAAAAATTTCCGGTTTTGGCATTTGGTCAAAGGGGATAAAAATTTCCGGTTTTGGCATTTGGGTCAAAGGGGATAAAAATTTCCGGTTTTGGCATTTGGTCAAAGGGGATAAAAATTTCCGGTTTTGGCATGTGGTCAACGGGGATAAAATTTTCGGGTTTTGGCATTTGGTCAAAGGGGATAAAAATTTCCGTTTTTTGGCAATTGGTCAAAGGGGATAAAAATTTCCGGTTTTGGTATATGGTCAAAGGGGGTAAAATTTTCAGGATTCGGCATTTGGTAAAAGGGGATAAAAATTTCTGGTTTTTGGCAATTGGTCAAAGGGGATAAAAATTTCCGGTTTCGGTATATGGTCAAAGGGGATAAAAATTTCCGGTTTTGGCACTTTGGTCAAAGGGGATAAAAATTTCCGGTTTTGGCAATTGGTCACAAAGGGGATAAAATTTTCCGGTTTTGGTATATGGTCAAAGGGGATAAAAATTTCCGGTTTTGGCATTTGGTCAAAGGGGATAAAAATTTCCGGTTTTGGTATTTGGTCAAAGGGGATAAAAATTTCCGGTTTAGGCATTTGGGTCAAAGGGGATAAAAATTTCCGGTTTTGGTATATGGTCAAAGGGGATAAAAAATTCCGGTTTTGGTATTTGGTCAAAGGGGATAAAAATTTCCGGTTTTGGCATTTGGGTCAAAGGGGATAAAAATTTCCGGTTTGGCATTTGGTCAAAGGGGATAAAAATTTCCGGTTTTGGCAATTGGTCAAAGGGGATAAAATTTTCCGGTTTTGGTATATGGTCAAAGGGGATAAAAATTTCCGGTTTTGGCACTTTGTTCAAAGGGGATAAAAATTTCCGGTTTTGGCATTTGGTCAAAGGGGATAAAAATTTGGCTCACACAAGTGGAGTAAATTGTATATCTATCATTCATAGGTATTTTATTATTTGTACTTATTTATTTATATCTGTTAATGTATGAAAATGTCCAGATTTTGACATTTGGTCAAAAGGGGATAAAAATGTCCGGTTTTCAAGACATGGTATTGCTATTGGCTGACTCTATCAATTGTATTTGTATCGTCATATGTTTTTCATTATTTGTATATATTTATATTTGTAAATATTTGAAAATGTCCAGATTTGGGCATTTGGTTAAAAGGGGATAAAATTTTCCAGTTTCATGACATGGTTTTGCTATTGCCTTACACAAATGGATTGTATATGAATCATAGACATGTATTTCATTATTTGTACTTATGTTTGTAAATAATGAATATTCATTTTTGTAAAAGAAAGATATTACTTAATTTGTCTTTGATTATATGAATATTTTGTACAGTTATTATTTGTTTATCTTTGTTAGTAATAAAATTTTCTCTGCATATATTTATTTTGTAGATTTCTTTCATTAAATTGTAGTTGTGATTGTACTATATGATTCTGACAGATGAATCAATTAATAAGTGAGAATGATTATATACAGTATAAATAGAGAGAGAGAGAGAGAGAGAGAGAGAGAATTAGAGGATATTGGCACTTGGAATGAGATGAAAATGAGCATTAAGTAATTAATTGGCAAAAGTGTTTTAAATAAATCATGTTAGATTCAAAATATTGTCAGAGACACATAGTTTTTCCAAAGTACACTAGTATAGGAAAACAGTAACAAATTACCAGTAAATGAGCATAAAATTGCTTCACTTAATCTGGATTTATCAACATTCCTAGACCTACATACCAAAGCTTTTAAAAAATCTGATTTCCTTTGAAATAATTTATTGTTTATAATAATGATTATAATTACGATATTTACTATGATAATCAATATAACAATGATAATAATAATGATTATTATGATACTGCTGCTATTACTAGTACTACTACAACTACTAAGAAGAAGTAAATGAAGAAAAAGTGGTAGGAGAAGAATCATTTTAGCGATATTAGTGAGTATATTCTCAATGATTGAGGCATACACGTGCATAAACATTACATATTCCGTGGTAAGAATAAAGTAAGCGAGGAAAATGAAGGCAATGACAAACGAGAGCGAGAGAGAGAGAGAGAGACAGAATATGGCCGGGTTCAAATTAAGTTTTCTCTAAATTATTAGACCCAGTACTGAGGATCTTTTAATCTGCCATGTTTTTGTTATTTGATGGCTTATGAAGCTACATAGAAATGCCGTCTTTTGTCACCAAATATTGTTCAAATAGCATTGTAGAGACGATGAACAACAGCGAACGCAAAGTCGTTAGCCATGACAATGTAAATTTCTATCTCGTTCTGCTAAATGATCCGAACAATAGAATCAACCAAGTAGATGTTAAACGAATTTTTTCATGAGTTCTGAAATTTCAATTTGTTACTGCATGTCATAATAGTATTAAAGAGCAGCAATGGCGAACGATTGTCGATAAAATTCAGAAATTGTTGCTTAGATTGATTAAATTACCATGAGACATCAAGCTACATAGAACTATGATCGACAAACATGATATTGTTTTGAAAACAGTCTGAAAACATTGGAGCTAGAATGAATAAGAGATAATGTGGTCATGTAAACAAGTGCATTATGTCCATGTTAATCCCCTAGTTCCAATATCATGATTGTATTCTCTATTTATTTCTCCTATATAATTTATTTCAATTTAAAATAGAAATTCTAATGTTCCTTCTTTTGGCTTGATAATATTTCAGCAACGAATTGACAGTTTTGGTAGACATCTTGGATGTATCGTAGCAATAAATTCTTGGCACATGACGTATTGTGTATACGATAGTAATGATAAGAAGAAGAAGCATACAAATAACTATAAGAATAATAACAATAACACATAATTACTATAATAATGATTATAATTACGATATTTACTATGATAATCAATATAACAATGATAATAATAATGATTATTATGATACTGCTGCTATTACTAGTACTACTACAACTACTAAGAAGAAGTAAATGAAGAAAAAGTGGTAGGAGAAGAATCATTTCAGCGATATTAGTGAGTATATTCTCAATGATTGAGGCATACACGTGCATAAACATTACATATTCCGTGGTAAGAATAAAGTAAGCGAGGAAAATGAAGGCAATGACAAACGAGAGCGAGAGAGAGAGAGAGAGAGAGACAGAATATGGCCGGGTTCAAATTAAGTTTTCTCTAAATTATTAGACCCAGTACTGAGGATCTTTTAATCTGCCATGTTTTTGTTATTTGATGGCTTATGAAGCTACATAGAAATGCCGTCTTTTGTCACCAAATATTGTTCAAATAGCATTGTAGAGACGATGAACAACAGCGAACGCAAAGTCGTTAGCCATGACAATGTAAATTTCTATCTCGTTCTGCTAAATGATCCGAACAATAGAATCAACCAAGTAGATGTTAAACGAATTTTTTCATAAGTTCTGAAATTTCAATTTGTTACTGCATGTCATAATAGTATTAAAGAGCAGCAATGGCGAACGATTGTCGCTAAAATTCAGAAATTGTTGCTTAGATTGATTAAATTACCATGAGACATCAAGATACATAGAACTATGATCGACAAACATGATATTGTTTTGAAAACATTCTGAAAACATTGGAGCTAGAATGAATAAGAGATAATGTGGTCATGTAAACAAGTGCATTATGTCCATGTTATTCCCCTAGTTCCAAATCATGATTGTATTCTCTATTTATTTCTCCTATATAATTTATTTCAATTTAAAATAGAAATTCTAATGTTCCTTCTTTTGGCTTGATAATATTTCAGCAACGAATTGACAGTTTTGGTAGACATCTTGGATGTATCGTAGCAATAAATTCTTGGCACATGACGTATTGTGTATACGATAATAATGATAAGAAGAAGAAGCATACAAATAACTATAAGAATAATAACAATAACACATAATTACTATAATAATGATTATAATTACGATATTTACTATGATAATCAATATAACAATGATAATAATAATGATTATCATGATACTGCTGCTATTACTAGTACTACTACAACTACTAAGAAGAAGTAAATGAAGAAAAAGTGGTAGGAGAAGAATCATTTCAGCGATATTAGTGAGTATATTCTCAATGATTGAGGCATATACGTGCATAAACATTACATATTCCGTGGTAAGAATAAAGTAAGCGAGGAAAATGAAGGCAATGACAAACGAGAGCGAGAGAGAGAGAGAGAGAGAGACAGAATATGGCCGGGTTCAAATTAAGTTTTCTCTAAATTATTAGACCCAGTACTGAGGATCTTTTAATCTGCCATGTTTTTGTTATTTGATGGCTTATGAAGCTACATAGAAATGCCGTCTTTTGTCACCAAATATTGTTCAAATAGCATTGTAGAGACGATGAACAACAGCGAACGCAAAGTCGTTAGCCATGACAATGTCAATTTCTATCTCGTTCTGCTAAATGATCCGAACAATAGAATCAACCAAGTAGAATCAACTGTTAAACGAATTTATCATGAGTTCTGAAATTTCAGTTTGTTACTGCACGTCATAATAGTATTAAAGAGAAGCAATGGCGAACGATTGTCGCTAAAATTCAGAAATTGTTGCTTAGATTGATTAAATTACCATGAGACATCAAGCTACATAGAACTATGATCGACAAACATGATATTGTTTTGAAAACATTCTGAAAACATTGGAGCTAGAATGAATAAGAGATAATGTGGTCATGTAAACAAGTGCATTATGTCCATGTTATTCCCCTAGTTCCAAATCATGATTGTATTCTCTATTTATTTCTCCTATATAATTTATTTCAATTTAAAATAGAAATTCTAATGTTCCTTCTTTTGGCTTGATAATATTTCAGCAACGAATTGACAGTTTTGGTAGACATCTTGGATGTATCGTAGCAATAAATTCTTGGCACATGACGTATTGTGTATACGATAATAATGATAAGAAGAAGAAGCATACAAATAACTATAAGAATAATAACCATAACACATAATTACTATAATAATGATTATAATTACGATATTTACTATGATAATCAATATAACAATGATAATAATAATGATTATTATGATACTGCTGCTATTACTACTACTACTACAACTACTAAGAAGAAGTGAATGAAGAAAAAGTGGTAGGAGAAAAATCATTTCAGCGATATTAGTGAGTATATTCTCAATGATTGAGGCATACACGTGCATAAACATTACATATTCCATGGTAAGAATAAAGTAAGCGAGGAAAATGAAGGCAATGACAAACGAGAGCGAGAGAGAGAGAGAGAGAGAGACAGAATATGGCCGGGTTCAAATTAAGTTTTCTTTAAATCAGACCCAGTACTGAGGATCTTTTCACGTGCCATGTTTTTGTTATTTGATGGCCTTTGAAGCTACGTAGAAATGCCGTCTTTTGTCACCAAATATTGTTCAAATAGCATTGTAGAGACGATGAACAACAGCGAACGCAAAGTCGTTAGCCATGACAATGTAAATTTCTATCTCGTTCTGCTAAATGATCCGAACAATAGAATCAACCAAGTAGAATCAACTGTTAAACGAATTTATCATGAGTTCTGAAATTT